CATTGGACACAGAAGGCCAATTCACCGCCCGCAGAAACCTGTCGCGTCTGAAAAGGTGAATTAATTTGCAGAAAGCGCCAACGATCGGGCAGCTGATACAGCAATCACCGGCCTTCGCTTTCATAGCTGCTGCAACAATCTCTCGCGCTATTTTATCGGCATATACATGGAGGTGCATATAACAAATCTTCACATGCACAATCACAACTATGTACAGAGGCGTGATCATACCGATATCCTATCACCACTACTGAAAATCTTCGTCGTAGCCTTCCCTTGAACTGTGCTGTCCAGAGGCACAGGCCGTTCTTGATTATCTTTTTTGGCGTACATTCGCCAATGCCTTGAACGGCCCAATGGAAGGTGCAATCTGCGATCATTGAAACGTGTTGGGTATGAAATTTTCGCAAAGTCAGAATTTTTCTGATGTGCACGATGCTCCACGTTGGCTTTGTATGTCCAATTGGAGAGGGATTTTATTCTGTCATCACAAAATACCGTTAAGCCTCAATATAACTATGAAGTTGATTGATTGATTGATTGGTTGATTGATATGTGAGGTTTGACGTCCTAAAACCACCATATGATTATGAGAGACGCCATAGTGGAGGGTTCCGGAAATTTTGACCACCTGGGGTTCTTTAACGTGCACCAAAATCTGAGCACACGGGCCAACAGCATTTTCGCCTCCATGGAAAGTTCAGCCACCGCAGCCGGGATTCCATCCCGCGACCTGCGGGTCAGCAGCCGAGTACCTTAGCCACTAGACCACCATGGCAGGGCATAACAACGAAGTCAATAAAACTGGCAATATACTTTGTACTATTGAAGCTCCTCGTCTTTTTTGCTTTGTTTGCTTGGATATGTCGACTCCTTTTGGAAAAGTAGAAATTTGGGCCAGTTGGTGATGCGATCTTGATGACGTGAAGCGCAATAAACGGGATAACAATAGGTGAGACAGACCGGACGAAGCACTTGTTTTTTCACTCACACGTGACACTGAACGATGGTCCACATAAAAAATGATCCCAACAATTTAGGGGCGAAGCTCCTTTCCTTAGGGTCGAGCGATATCCACCGTCGCCCCTCGATGACGACGCTGATGAAGAACAAGCGCGCTCCAGACCACATTCTCTTTCTGCCATAACGGCACACCGCAGGCAACGTGCCGTCATGACGACGCAAAACGAAGGCAAAACGAAATTCGCAGCTCAACACAACATGAGCAATAAGCATTGTATATAATGCACTGTCAATTTTTATGAAAGGGAACACTGGAGCGCGTGCGCACTCCGGCGGCTGCCGGCAATGAGTTCTAGCGGGAGCGAGAGCAACCACAGTCTCTTTTTCCGTCATCTTGCGGCGAGCAAAACAACCATTCGTTGCTAATCCGTAACCATTCGTTCCATATCATCAACGAATGGTTGTTTTTCTCGCCGTCAAGAAGTTAACATAAATCGAGTCTCCATATATCTTACTGTCCAGCTATTTTATAACCACGTTGAGTTACAGTTCTGCAAGAAGTTGAATCTAATATTCTGACCACTTTAACATGTATGATTGTCAAACATTCAACTTTTCCCAAATTACCCGTTTTGTTGCGATTGACATCCTTTCCTTTTGCGCCGTCTCATGCACTAACGAGCCCAACAACAGGCTTTACCTGTTTGCTTTAGTCATTACACAAAAGTCCACCCGCCGCTCAGTTCTTGGATCTGAATCTACTTTTACAGGTACGTGCTGTCGAGATGAGGATATCATCATCATCATCATCATCATCATCATAAAGAGTCAAAATCGGCCTGCTTCCGAAATGAACCCGTGCGCGTTTTAAGGTTTCTAATCTCTCGAGTAGTGGGTAAAAGTCAGTGTGGAAACGCATGGCAGCAAAATGGCGTCACAGCGGTGACGGCCGCCGACATCAGTGAAAAGGGTGCGCCGCGGCCAGCGTGACCGCCATAACGTTGTTGGGTCATCGCCGTGGCTGTGACCCGAAACGGCCACATATCCCATTAGAATGGCGCCGACGATTATCTACGTCCCACGTGCCCTTGCCGGCGCGGCGCCGACACTGTGAACACAATTATTCGTTATGCGCCCTTGACCACCGCCCTTACGAGTCGTCGCAGGGACAGTTCGCCCTCCCCATTCAAGCAAGTATATGGACCACGACCTCTAGCAGCACCTATTGAACCGAAGAGCTAATCACATATTTGTCACCATTTATGAGTTGATAGAGTTCATCATTTAGTACCAGTCGAGACTAAGGTGGTACTAGTTGGCCCCAAACAGGGACCAGATGGGAGCCAGCTGTTCCCAGTTGACCACTAACTTGACCAGTAGGAATTCAAATAGTACCAGTATAAACTATAATTGGCCATAATAACTATACTTGAATTGATTCTATCTGGTTACGAGTTGTGAACAGATAGAATCAATATAACCCAGGCGCGCAGCCAGAAATTTCATTCGGGGTGGGGGGCACCTATTTGATTTCGGAAGTCGGAAACGAGGTAGAACCAATTGGTTTCAGGCTGCCACCAGTGAGCAGTTCATTACTTTACCCACTAGAGCTTTAGAATAGGGAACTATTGAAAGCTGTGCATTCGCGCCATCCTTTGCGTCTGCTGCCACTGCGCATGGTTCACACGCTAACCTTTCACGTACCCACGTGAAGAGTTTTAGAGCTGGGGCCCAAAACCAGCTTGCGTACGAACGATCTTGTTTTCCTTTGTATTCTCTGTGGGTGCACTTGAGCACAAAGAAACGCAAGAGCGTGCGTACGCAAGTGGCGTAGGGTCCCCGGCACTAAAACTAGGCCATTTAATTAGTTGGGCATCCGCACCAGCCCTGCGGACGCACCCTGCCAGCCATTTCCTATGGCAGGCTGCGTTTGCAAAGCTGTTGCCGCTCAACTAAATCGGTCCATTCTCTAACGACGTATCGTACGTACCCCACGAATAGCTTTCTCTGCGTATTACAAAACTGCCTATTTTCGCCTGCTACTTACGCGGCCCGACGGTACATCTGCAGGTCTTGAAATCACTGTCGGAAGTCTCCGTCGCGACTTCCACACGAGAATCAGCGCTTGCGATTAGCGCTAGACCAGCGAGCTACAGGTCAGCCCAACGTCAACTACACGTCCGCAGATACGTCTTGGTGACATGTACGAACAAATTTCGACCCGAGACAGTGACCAGCGCGTCGTCGTATAGCGTCGGTTTGCAGCCATGTCCAGCAGAGCAGACGACGTGACCTCCACGTCCCGGCAGTTCTTGGGCGCCATGCGCGACTTGCGCGACACACTCTACGAGAACTGGCCATCGTCGCAGGCAACGGTGGCGATCGTCGTGTTCGTCGCGGTGCTCTGCGCCTTCGTTTACGGCCTCCTGCGGGACGGCCAAACGGCGGCCTTGGTGTACGCTCCCGACACGCCGGCGGCATACCTCAGGGTCGCCTCCAGGTCCAGCAACCCCGAGAGACACGAGCCCGGCTACGTCGAGCTGGAAGCGCTTCTGCGCACCCCTATCGTCACCCCTATCGTCGTGGCCCAGACGCCCGCACCATGATGAGCGCAAACCCGACATGCGGTTTCCTGGATGAGCCTTTGGGAACGCCTGTAGTGGCGATCAAGTCGACGCCCACACCAAGATTAGTGTGTGGTCTGCTGGCACCTCTATCGGGTGGTGAAGACGCACGCGCCAAGATATGGGTGAGAAGCTGATATGTAGTGTGTGGGCTGCCCGACTGAAATTTGTCCTTGACAAAGTCGACTGTTTCTCGAGAGAATGCGCGAGTGTGCTCCAAGTCATATTAGACCACCACTATAGTTGTGGTGCACAGTGAAATTCACGCGAAACACATTTATTGCCTTTTTTTTTTTGCTCTTACAGGGATGCGGCCGCGCCAATTCGCGCAGCAGCAATCGGCTCAATTGTGGTATTATGCAAAGACTGATTGAACTGGGCAAATTGAACCCGCGACCATTGTAAAACTACAAAGGACAGTAAATTTCTTTTCGTATCTGTAAACAGAAGGTCCTCCTAGCTAGCGGTGCTGCCTCTTTTGTTTTGTGAACCTCATTCAGCAAGAATTATAAGGCCAAATGTTTTGTACTATATAAATCTTTATAGTGCAGACGATATAAATATTTATATTGTTTATATAGCATCAATCTTTTCTGCCAAGCATTTAAAAAGCCCAAGTTACTGGCAGTCCCTATTGCTCTAGAGGACAGGGCAACTGAAACCAGAAGAGATGTATTCTAATATTGAAAATAGACCACACAACAGCGAGGTTCCAGTTACAGTATGTTTACAGTATGTGTAAATATTGCTGTTGGAGAGTAATAGTGACTGGAGGTTGAACTTTTAGTGGGTTATTTTTTCATACATTCACATGGCAAGGTGCAACACACAAGCAGACATGTAGAAATAAACATATACTACTGGTAATATTGATTGTAAGTGTCTATGCAATTACCATCACCACCAATCGTAGTGCCAAATTATGCCACTCCTTTTTAAAAGAAAGCCTGCAGTCTGCCCAGGCGTGGTAACAAAACATTAGCAAGTGTTCAGCACTGCATCCATAATAGCAATGCATATACAAGATTGTCATGGGCACAAGCAGGAGTTCTGTGCACACGCTCTGTGCTCACGCGATGCTGTCGCGCATGTCATTTACACAGTGCTAAAACTCACTGTTTACTTGGCGGCTTCCGATAAAAATCACCGATTATGCAAGAACACACTTGCGAATACATTAGCAGCAGAATGAGCGTTCATGATGTGTGGCTTTTCTCTGTCTCTTTTGTGTTCCCGTGCTCCCAGTTTGCTCAACAAACACTTGTGAATGCAGAGGTGTGCGTAACGTATTGTGCTGTTCACTGCATGCAACACAGGTAATACCAGAGAGTAGGGAAATGTAGCTTTGATGTTTGTCAGTTTGGGTAAACATGATTAATGCTGTGTCCAAGAAAAAAGAAGCAGTACTCAAGATAAGGAGTAATAATTACTTTATTAGCTCTAATAGAGGGCACAAATAAACGGTTATTGCAGTCCACGGAGTAGTCGCTTGCATGTAAAAAAAAAGCACTGGGATTCGAAAGGCAACACACTGCCCCAAAAGTGGCAGATTGCATAAGAAAAGCATTTGCATAATGAATGAAAGGCACCACTGAAACATGCAAACAAGAAGACGAAAATGATGCCTCCTCCCACACTATACCACTTGAGCCTTTGGCCACGAGGAGATCGAAGAGCAGAGGCCACAAACGAACACACATTAAATGCCATATTGTTGATAGTGATCCCCTCACAGTCGTTCCTGGACGCTCCCACATTTTAGCAGCAGTATGTGCTAGTGTCTCACGAGCTACGGCTCAATGTTAAAAGAGAACACTTATCAAATATTCCAGGACAAGTTATAGCTACGAACACCTTGGCAGTAATGTCTTACCTTAGTAATGGCGCACCACTAATCAACGCCACACATTTATTACTAGTTGAATTGTCAATGCATTCAATAAACCTTCTTTTCAAAACCATTCAAGTGCTCTCTTTACATTTGAATTGTATTGCGCATGCTTATATAAAAAAAAGAACTAGTATTTAGAATTCACATTTCAATTAAGTATAACAGTAACCAACCCGCAGACATTTAGGCTCAGGTGCTCGTGTAAGCGTGTTACCCATCACAACTTAGCGACACCAATCGCACCAGTTTTAATTGCAGCCGCATTTGAAACGACCTGATTACAGCAACGACTTGAGAAAATGTTGCACTTTGCAATGTATTTGCACTGGTGCATACTAACCACCACACCACACTGAACGAAATGTGCATTTGATGCAAAACATGGACGAAAGTTACACACACTTCGGACGCCCATTCCACTTGCACCATATGCGACACCGCTTGCACGAGCCGCGTAAAATGCGCACCAAATCTGGTGCAAGCGATGGCGGGTCAGTTATGGACACACAGAATGTGAATTATTTATCAAGTTGAAGTTCACTGCAATAGACAGTGTCAACACAAGAGGACGTCAAAAGCAAGGCCAGTATAATGACACATTTCTTGTATCCTAGTCTACTGTCTTGCACCACGCGTCGCAAGGAACTGTCAAGCTTGAAAAGTAATGACAGTTTGACAACACTATTGCAAAAGGGCGAGAACAAAATTGCATCCACACAGAAGGGAGAAAAAAAAAAGTTAATCGCAACAATATTCAGGCACAGTATGCTTCACTTGAAATGTTTGCCGCCTCTGGTGATGCAAATTGGTTCTGCAAAATCAACCTAGGAAATGGAGTTTCGCCTGCTTCTGCAGCCATACAGCTAGATGGCTAAAGGCACAGGACTTTGGAAGAGGCTCACTAAGCCGATTGCGTGCTTATTCTTTTGACATTTTCAGCATCTACAGATGAGGGGAGGGGGGGAATGTCTGAATGTCCTCAGACCTTTCCCTATAATTTTCATGCACACATGTCCCTGCTATTGCAGTGTAAATAAGGTGCTCATTAGAGTGCAAATATATATCTTATTATTGCTCACGAGCGATCGTAACCTTAAAAGTAGACTCCCCTGAAATAGAAAAGGACCTGCTATCCTACTACCTGTCGATCAGCACACAAACTCTTAATTAAACCTACCGACATCACCCTTCAGAAAATTATTTTTACAAGGCACATGGATATGCTACAATGCATGATAGAGCTTGTCTGTCCAATAAAAGTCCTGCATAAATTGAAAAGCCAAAGTCCTCTTAAGCACGCAACACTGCGAAAGCCATGCCAGTAGTGAGGCCGCTGAAGTCTTTCCTAGCATCGGCCACAGTTAAGTCGCTCATGATTCCCTACTCTTACTTTACAGCCACAACTTGAAGACGCAGGTTTATGGCGCAACATGTATAACTTGCGCATGTTTGCGCTTCTAGCAGGTGACAGTCTGCATTCTGGCCAAAAGCACGACCAATGCACTGAAGGCGCAGGTTCCAAAAATAGCTACTCTGTTATTGGGCAGTATGTAGATTTAGATCCCTGATGAATAGAACAATAAATGATGTATTTAGTAGCAAAATAGTATGGACTTAATTTTATATCCAAACACAACGTGCATCCTTAATGACTCAATCTCTTGTGATAGACTACTTTTCGGCTTGCAGATAAAAGCACACAGAGAAGCCTTTGTAAATGCTCCCCACCATGTATGAATCGGAACACGGTATTTTAGCGTTGCTATCAGTGCTTAGGGTATCATGTAGGATTATAAACAGCTAATTAGAGCTGGCTTGTTATTCTTAATTGACAATATGACACTGTCAACTAGACATGAAGTACAAGAAAGTTTTTTCCCATTTCCAAGCTGGAGCGTAACCTAATAGAAACACCCAGAAATGTGACCCCAAATTCAGGAGCAGAAAAATGACAGTAGAAAGCTGTCTATCACTCATAATACTACTTCAGCCTAAGGACAAAAAGAAAACATTGCCGACACATGATTGGGCTGTTTTGCATGGGCAGTGAAGTAACTAAAGACCCTAGCGCAAACTAATAAAGAGAAGCACTCAACGTCTCTGTAACCATTTTGAATCGCCAGAGGCAACAACATGGCGTAGGTCATTGTTTAAAATGAGTACATGGAACAATGTAAAAACTTCGTAATAAAAGAGACATCTCAGAGTCATATGGCACAACCAGATGTGTGAAAGAAAGGAACATTGGAGTATCTCTTTAGTTCCTTCATGCAATCCAATGTGTACAAATGTTCTCAACGTTAATAAACACATAAAAACACTGGTTTCTCTAAAAAGAAGAGGATAATCAAAAACAGGGTTAATGAAAAAAAAGGAAGCATAGCTATGCACACGACATAGCCTAAAATATAAAAGTCTGAGTATGCAAAACGCGGCGCAGGACGCAAATGTGAGAATAGCAATGGTTAGCAAAAGAGATCGACACGTAATGCATAGAACGCTTTGAAAGGTAACTATGCAACCCTAAAAATGCACAAGCAATCTATTGAATTTTCGAAAGACTGCTCAATTTACGGACTATTTCAGGTTTAGCTACATATAAATATACACCGTAGTCACTTGTGTCAGTAGTCGAGGGGTACTAAAAATGCAAGCACAAACTTACTTTTGTCAGGACATTTCATTAAGGTACGAGAGACACAGCCCCGAAAAATTATTGATGTGTCGTCAACCTCGTGTAGTTCAGTTAAACAGCATTCATTATTAACCTTTGTTGTTCTGATCTCTGGAAGACACATTGGTAGTCAATGCAGTAAACTTTTCAGTAATGTAATGTCATCTAAAAATAGGCTATGCTGGCACAGTCATGTCCACTATGTGCAGAGGACTACCTTCCCAAATGTACAAAAATCATTTGCATGACTACTGATCTATTTTTGCGTGTGCCTCTAAGTTACAGAAATCTATTCGGCAAAATTTCATGCGAGCATGTGCGGCGACAGAGTTGCGCACAGATGTACCTGTGTCGGACATTCCGAGCGAGCTCATTCGTTAGTTCAGTGCGATTTTAGCTGAGAAAAAAAAATTTTCTCTACCACCAGACCTGCACTAGCAGAGTGTTCAGAGGAAGATACCCTGTCTTAGATATGTTTTCATTGCTGAATGCATTGTACTACTAAATTACAAAAAAAGATTTAAAATCATATACCACGCAAAGTTAGGCCGCATAGCGATAGAACAAACTATTCAATAATAGATCCCGACTAAAGATACGGTAACATTCGAAACTTTAGAGTGTGACGATAAATTTCCAAATGAAATGAAAGAGACAGTTATTGTGCGTACGTCAAAAATGCAGCTTGACCCATCGTTATGAGGGCTTGCCTTGCACGCAGAGACGAAGAGACAGCTGGATTGACAAAAAAACTCTTGCTACATCAACAATGAGGTCAACGTTACTAGGAACAAAAACTCCTTCTTAAAGCTTAAACAACAACGTAAAAAAACAATGCTAAGAACCACTTATAACAAGAAACATGAAAGGAAGGGTGCTAAAAACAAAAGGTTCGGTTAACGAGGTGCATCTGCTGACAGCACTGCGAGCGCCGATGCAGAAACTTGTCGCAATGGCCGAGTCCTTCCCTGCTACAATTAGTCTACGAACGCCCGCAGCCATGATTCACAGAAACTCCATTTCTGTGATACCGAAGTCCGTGACGGTGATTTCCCCTGGACGTTGGAGCACGCTTTAGTGGCAATCCATACAATTAAAAGTCATCGAAGGGTGCACGGCAGAGGGCGGATGAACAGTTTCGCGTTCGTGCTCTGCCGTTATCTGTGGTCTCCATCTGCAGAGTAGCCAGCAGAAGACTTCTCTTAGCTGAGAACAGTGTTAGAAAAGAGAAGCAGTGGAAGCATTTTAGAGGATCATGAAAGGTAATCAGCCTCAAAGCCAAAGTTCATCGGTTAAATGTCCCCGTGTTTCCTATGGCAATGAGTGAGTCTGAGTCGTGGGCTTTGCAGTAATGTGAAGGAGAAGAAGCTACAGATTCTTCTGATGTATGGTGCCCGCAAAACTAACAAAAAAAATTGGCTGCATATCTCTGTACTTCGCTGCAAATGTTGTCAAAAGACAATAGCCTTCTGTGTGAAGGCGCTACGCAAGGTATGAACGTTATCTGGCATTGCCGTCGGGAAACATGGGCTGGTGTAGAACCAAGGATCACTGCCAGGTGACAGTACCATATTGTCGCAAGCACTTTTTTGTGCATAGCGTTGCATTTTCATTGAAGCATAAGAAACACCAGGTTCTTTAGAATTATGTATCTATGCATTTTCTGGTAAAGAAACACACCAACAAATATGTATTGATACTGTGCCTCAGATAAACGTGTTTGTTTTCTGAGCGACAATGTTCAGAAGTATGAGCACAGCCACCAGATTAAGATGGCTGGGCATTGAGGAAGTGCTTGAACTTTGGCCAGTTGGCTGAATAGTGCAGCAAGACAGATAGACAGACCAAAATTTCCTTGTTCTAGTATCCCAAAGATTATCATCTTTAAAACTTCAGGAACCTTGTTCTTTATCTTCATGAGTAGAACGCAAGAACGTAATAGGGTCTCGTATGCATAGATCGACTTGTCAATTGCTAGCCTGCCTCTAATCTTCGGCTGACATCTCAACTGCGCTGCAAAAGAAGGTATGTCTGTGCATGTAACATTCACCACTTCAAAGTGTCACTGAATGGGTATACTAAATGCTGCTGTGGAGTGGCCACTACACCATAACTTTCTCATTTCCTTATTGGCATACTAACCTCTATGTGTCTCTAAGGCAACACGGGCATCAGCACAGCTGCACACTTTCATGATGCTGTTTCCGTTGACGATGGTGAATAACTATGCCAGAGTGCTTTGCAATGGGTGGGCCTTTAAACCCACAACTCAGTGCACAATGGACACATTATCACGCCTGGTGCAATTCTACACTTCTGGCACGTAATATATGTGTGGAGTGGTCTTCTTGTACTGCATAACATTCATATAAGGTTCTTTCCCAAACCAGCTTCAAGCACTGGCACGGCTCTGTTGTAGAACACCTGCTAGCCACACGGAAGTCTCATGTTCAATTCTCACTCGAGCCAGACACTATTATTTATTTATTTGCATCTATTTAGAATTTCCACTCATGGACAATGCTGATTATCCGCTCAAAACCGACTTCAATGCTGATGCCAAAATTTCTGTGAAGTGAGCACTTAAATGCTATTTTTCTAATAAATGAGTCACATGAGAAGCCAATCATAAATGCTCCTACCAAGCAAAGCATAAAGAACAAAAATTCCATGTTTCGTCCATGCCCTGAGCTACCACGTCAATGGAGCAAAAATTCATGTTAATACTAAAAGTAGAAAATGAGGCAGAATGTGGCCGACCATGCACAAAATGGTTAGGTGCTGCAGTGGAGAGTGACTTATTAGTATTTAAATTCCCACAATTCATATTACTATAATGCCATTGGCTCGGCACTAATACTTAGCGAGGATTCTCTCTCAGAAAGTGGTTCGAACACCAAAGCGCAAGTGTGGTTTCTCATGCACACAACCAAAGCTTTAGAGGGACACTGTACAGTGCAATGTGAAAAAGCTTTTGGGATAGTGCCAGTAAGGTAAACCAGTGCCTCCTACCTAATACTGGTACCAGGGCTGCTTGCGGATCCAGCGGACACGAAGTCCAGAGTCAGTACGGATCTTGATGGATGCTGCCTCGCAGGCACGCACAGTCTCCTTGACCGACTGCATCAGGTTTTGGGCATTGCCGACCAACATGTCTGTCGCCTCCTGATCCTCTTCCGTGCCTGTAATGATGGGCACGTCAAACCAGGGTTCATCTCGTTTAATTTCGTGGATTTGTTTCGGGTAGTGCCACATTTATGCATGCACTCAAACTTTTTAGCGTAACCTTTGCTGTCCCACACCAGTATATAACATTGTAGGATAATACTATCCTGTCCTTAGGAAGGACAATATCTTGGTGAGGCAATGCTTTCGTAGGATACTGCACTGCCACAAAATGGCAGGTTGGGTTAGTTCTAGCACATTCATTTTTGAAGAAAAAAATGCACCAAAGAAACAAAGGCAAGGAGAGAGAACACACACAAACAGAGCTGCATGTGTTCCCTGTTTTTTTGTTATCGTTATTTTCGAGCACTATTCTCTTCGAAAATTAATACTATACTGTGCCTCAGAAGAATAGCATCCTGCTGAGGATGCCATACTGCTGTATTAGAATAGTGGACGTTGTGGTACAAGTAGAACCTCGATAATACTAATTCAAAGAGAGCTCGCAAAATATTCGTATCATACCAAATTTGTATGAACCTAAAGCAAGTTAAAAATGATCATGAAGATGAACAAGAACTTTATTGGGTCAACTACTTCTTGCTAAAACAGGTTCTTCTAACTTTCCTGCTCTCGCCGCCTCTCAATGAGGCGCCGCAACTTCCTCACTAGAGCTGCTAGTGCTCAAAACGTGTTCGCGATTGGCATCAAAGAGTGCAAAAGCAGCAAAACCTCTTGGAAATTCACTCACTTTGCTCCTTAAGCAGCCAGAAAACATGCTGTGAAGACAACATGAATAAAATCAGTGCGGGAGAATTCACACGGAAAAATTCGAACAAAAACGCCAGAGCGGCTGCAAAACCACGTCCACGTCCCTCGAAAGTGTTAACATTCGTTCCGCCCCTCGTATACATGCCACCGCCTTCACCTCTTGAGAATTCATTCCATTTTGCCTGTTTCCTGAGTATTAAAATCCGTACAGAGTTCTATAGTTATGCATGCAAAGTAGTGAAAAGAAACAACTTAAACCTGTCTAAGCAATGTTTCGAGACACACGGCAGCAGAAACGACACGAGCGGATGCAACACCAGTGGGGGCGATAGATTTAGCCAGCAGTGCAAAAGAGAGATAGGTTGGGGCATGCTGACTTGCTGCTGCTGCGCCTCCTCCTACTTCCACTGTTCACTGCGATCGTAATGCAAACCAGGCTCTCGATCAACGTGTCCTTGTCAAGGCCGTGAGCTTTGTTGTGTGGTGCAGGACACCGCATACGCATTTGTCGCCATGTTGAACTTGCGGCTGGTTGTTTACATCATGTGATTTGAGAGCCAGTGCAGCCGGTGTAGCCAAAGCCGTGAAGCAAAAAGGCTTACGCCTTTGGCTCAAAAATGGGTCTTGAACCAATTTTCTCGCATCGGCCTCACGGCGTGGTTTTCCGTCCACTTAGGCAGCAAAGCAAGGTAAATTCCAGCGAGTTTTGTCGCGTTCACTTCCTTTGAGAAGAAGTGTTATCGAACCTTCCTCCCACAGACAAATTGGGTTGCGCTGCTCGTGTACAGCGGCCAACCGCCTTCGTATCATACGAGGTGGCTGGGGAAACCGTTCGCATCGCACCGAATCACGGTGTATTTTCCATCCAAAGCAACCCTAAAATTTGTATCATCATAAAACTTGCATCAAAATTAATCGTATCATCGAGATTCTACTGTACTACGGTGAAGCTGCATTGGTACGATTCTGCATAACACGTTTTTCAACATATTTTTTATTCTTGACCAGCATCTCTTGGAATACCATATAGAAGCCCCACATTTATAATGTACGCTTCCCGGTTTCTAGTCGAGAACATTAGGATCACCCGTTATGCACCTGGGAACACTGCAGGCATCCACAATCTTGAGAGATGCATGTTGTGAATGCCATGCACATCCTTACCTGTGGAATGTACTTGCTAGGACACACTATGTGTGTCTGCGCTATACGACAAAAACTACACCCTTACAGTGTCACCTTAAAAGGGCCCTGCAACACTTGTGGAGCATGTGAGAAAATGTTGCCTTTCGTCAGTAGAGGCTCCAAAGAACAGGAGAGTCAAATATTATAGTGCAGCACATGGTATCACAGTCGTTGAATCAGCCATTGGCTGATTTGAGCATAGCACGCTCGATCATCACAGAGCGTGCCACGGGAGGCCACAATTTGTCTAGACATTTGTGCGTGATAGCATCGAAAAGCCAAGTATTCAAGGGTTAAAAAAAAGAAGAGAAAAAGTTAACAAGGTCACAAGACGCACGGTGTATTTCCTATATCCGTGCCATCTCTCTCTGCTTAGCTTCCAGCATTTTCATCGAGACGTGAGAACAGAGGAAGCAATGCAGCGTGCAACAAACCTTTGTAGCTCTGCTCGTACAGGACGAATTCTAAAAATTTTTGCTGCGGTGAATTCCTTAGGCTCCTCTAATGAATCCATTTCATGGCTACTTAAAGAAGTGTTGCAGGGCCCCTTTCATGGTGCCATACACCTAGCTGATTGTGCAAGGGACTTGCAACCGAAACCAATATGAATTGACTTTTCCCATGGTGAATGGTTTTTTTGCTCAATTTACAGGGGTGAAAAAACTTTGGCTGAGTGATTCGATCCTGGTAAGCCTTTCCAATTATCAAAAGTGCTCTTTGCGAATGATACAGGCTTTGGAAAATGCCGCCTGGGCTCGTCATGTTCCCTTGTTGCTTGACAATGCTTGAAGGAACTTCGACGCACTGGCACACAGTCGGGAACAATAGCTTGAGAATCTGTGCAAACAGCCTGAATCACTGAACCATGAATTTTTAGCCTACAGTGGGGCTGTAGGCTAAAAATTGCCTGATTCGTAGCACAATTTGAATTCCTCAATGAGTTGCTTTAACTTATGCTATGCCTACAACCTACACTGTAACACAGTAAAGCAAAAAACACAACAATATATGTGACCAAATAAAAGCACAAACGAACGAAAAACGCCACACACAGTGCAAGAAATCATGCTGTGTAACAAGGAAGCAGGGTTGTTCACAAGAGAGCAAGCAAGCCAAACCACAAGACCAGCAATACGGTTTGCAAACGATCATTCCATCTCCAGCCAATGGCGTGCATTCGTGAAAGTGCCAGGGTGAATGAACTACATGAGGATAAAATAGAAGCATGTGTTGCCCAAAAAAACATGTGCCGATGAACAGAGCCACATGCAGAAAGCGTGTTTGACAGCTCCTGAAGGGGAGACAAAAACGCTACTTACTCCATCTTTTTACTGCATATTTTTTTGAGAAATGGAAGAAAGAAAAGTGAGCATTTAAAAAGTGAGTAAGCAACCCCAGAACTTGCACAGAACAAAAAACTATAATAAAATAACAATTGCAACTTGACTTGAACAATGTGTGCATTCAACCCAATATGAGAGAATACTAAACCAAGGAAGATGACGTGTTGGCATTACAGGTGTATTATTCTCTTCTTCTGCATCTATGTGTGCATGGTTCACCTATTTTCATAATAAAATCGCGGCGGTTATGAAGAAATAAACCATCGCACTATGGTTATGGTGCTCTCGGTTGCGAAATGTAGAACTAAGCTTGGTGTGCCAATGAGGGTGGGTGTGAAATCTCAAATAACAGCCATGAACTTAATGCTTTATTAAGGGTATGTCTACGTCTGTTCATAGACAACTAGACTTACATAGACATAATTTACCTCATCGGCTTGCTGTGAAAGCAGATTCTGGCAAGGCCTGCAATTACAGCAGGCCTTGCCAGAATCTGTGTTTGGCAAATGCATATAGGCGTTAGCTATATACTGGTCATAAATTTACCACATATGGTTATAATGTGATATATGGCCTATATGGCAAGCCTATATACACTATCTATATGGGCCATATATGGCATTACAAAAGATGGTACATTTATGACCATATATAGCAAACTCGTACATGGGTTTGCCAAACACAGATTCTGGCATAAATGTACCATATATGGATGTTATACCATATATGGCCCATATGGCAAGCCTATATGTGGGATGTATGGGCTCGTCACTAGCCAAGTAATAATCACGACACCTTGTAAATGTGAGCAATGATATTGGATTGCTTGAATTTCACTAAATACTGCAAAATTTTGTTGTTCCAAGTTTCCATGAGTAAAACTGCTTACAGCTGTCCCAGTGTTCCTTAAATGTGCATACACTACCTTATGTGCATCATTCCCGGCGATTTCAGACTAACACAAGGATAGAAGATGAACAGGTAAAGTTATATTAGAGGGCATGAACTGAGGAAGGACAGAAATTTGGATGGGTCCAGTTATGTTCGTAGAAAATGGCACAAAACAAAGAGACAAAGAGAGATAAAAACACAAACATTGCGTCATCTTCGCTCAGTTAATGAATGCACACACACACACATGCACACTAGTACAACACAGTCATGGTTAAAACATACGAGAAATACAGAATGTACATCAATGCCATTGTAAGGAAGGGATTCAAGCAACTATGTTATTACTTAAACATCAAACACTACTTACAGGGTACTTATCACTAAATATGGCTACTTCATAGTTCAACTCTTCAGTTTAAGCATGGCACACATTATACATTGCATTCTCTTGCTTCTTATGTTTCTTGTACTTCAAAACTAAAAACGTTTTGCAGGATGTGGGCTGCGCACAGAAAATTTGGCTTGAGGTGATTGAACGAATGGGTTCAAACTTTGCACCAACAACCATATCAAAACTAGTGAGCTGCAGTTAATGCATTTACCACTAAATGTTGCCCACTTGCTTCCTAAACAGCAATCACAAGAAATTCTTGAGGAGTCAAAGCTTTGGCAAAGATTCTTACAGCCCATGATAGACCCTGCTCACAATTTGTGCTTATGCATTTCATCCCCCATTGAAATGCGGCCACCATGGCAGGGAATCTAACCCAATATTTTCTTAGCTTAGCAGTGCAACACCTTAGCCACTGCAGTGGGGCAAGGCAAGAATGCCTCCAAGCACTTCGCAAGCTCTGAATGAACTGTGCAAATGTGTTCTCAGTGTCTCAATTTATCAAGCCAAATGCAAATAATTTTGTAAGAGTTTTGACGTATACCTAAAATTTTAAAACGACTGGCCAAATGATCAATAAGAATGAAGAATGAGCATTCGTCTTGGCAGCTAAGATGGTGTCATCTTTATTTTCAGCCTTTTCTTCAGTGTCTAACTCAATAGCCCGCACTCTATCAGGTCATGTAACAGTTTCAATGTGACAGTATAGTTTCGCATTTGGTCAAATGCAGGCAAAACACACACACACACACACACTCCAGAACAATGCACACTAAACCCTAAACAGACGTAAGAGTCCGGTAGGGGCCAACGGCAAAACTGTGCACCAAGCATGGGAACATGCGGAGTCTTTTACCGCAGATAATCTCGCTCCCGTCGGGCGTCGGTATGGGCTCTGTGGAAAACAAGCGTCACCCTCAACAAGAGATGCTGAGAGCTGTTATCTGCTATTGACAAGACTGATCTGCTAGTATCAGTGCACAAAAGTTTTATGTCCAGGCTTACGACAGATAGCTTGACATAAGGTTCCAAGCATAGTTTCATTAGTGGGGACCACTATGATGCAAATGAATTTCAACACGAGTGTTCTTCCATGTTTTTCATCTCCCATGATTTAGCAGAAGTCCCTTAAAGACCACTATTATTAGTAGACCAGTACTGTATTATCACGTTTAAATGTACACACAGGACAGTTTTAGTCATTTCTGGCAAAAAATAATTGGTCATATTTGTTCGCGAACTGGTTACTTCAGACGGTGTGGGAAGCTCACCAGGCATGATGCACCACAAATTTGAGGTGCAAAAGAGCTAAAATGATGTTTGTGGCTAACCAAAACAAGGTGGTGCAGTTTTCACCAGCACAAAAGACGATACGAAACACCCAAACAAGACCAGTGCAATGACACAGTTCGTATTGCCATCATTATCATCATTACAAACTGCAACATAACAATACGAAAGCCAGAACACTTCATGCCTTTTGACATTTAGTACCACCACTTGTGGGGTTTCGCTGGCTGCGGACATCCAAAAATTAACGGCCACTATCCACAACGGCATTTTTGACAATCAAGTGGCTCTGACCAAAAGGTTCGGTGAGCGCCGCAAATTTCGTTCATTGACCCATGAAAAGAAATTGACCTGCGCACATGGTGACCGTGGTGGTGGCAGTACCAATAAGGAAGTGTTGCAGAGAAGGTTTCGAGCTAATTAAGACATTGGGGCCTTGCACTATGATAGCATAGTGAGTGAAGTTGCAGGATGACAAACACTGCCACTTTTACCCCGCTCTTGCACAATAAGTACAGTATTTATGCATTCTTCAAGAAAATGAAGATCTGTTGATCTTATAGGCACATGTTTATTGTTTTCTTAATACTTACAATAATTGAGAATTCGGTTATCTTAGACATTTTTTTCCGGTCCCCTCAAATCCCAATTAACAAGCTTTTAGTGTATATATCCAGGTATACATGTTTACAAACATTTCACAATGTTATAAGCAGAACGTCCGAGTGGCTATATAGCGTGCGAATTCGATGTAGCATTTTAAAGAGAACGAATGGTTTAGAAATGTTTGTTCTGGTATTTATTTGGAAGGTAAAAGGTTAAAAAAACACTTGGAACACAGACTGCAGTAGTTACGTCCACAGTAGATTAAGGCCTGGTTGATTTAAGAGAACCTTCACTGAATTTTAACAGAAGCTTAACTCAGTCACGGGGTGCCACACAGGCTATTCCTGCACGATCTTCAACCACATAATATTCTGTACCATTTCCTAAACACATGCAGGGGGGACACCAAGGCAGAATTTGATTTGGCAAAAAGGGGTTGGTGCACACCCCCTACATGTATATTTGTGCACTAGTTTTGCATATTTACACTCATACACAACACCTAAAGTATATGCCAGTGGCTGAATCATTACGAAGCAGCGTGAATGTCCTTGGTCTGGGGCAGGGACGAATAATAAAGTGCATTTTCTTGCAGTGCTCCATGCCTTTGTTAACACTATGTGATCTCAATATGAATACATAGACACAAGCTTGAACATATTGAGGAGTTTGAAAGCCCAGTTTAAACATCTTCCACTGGCCACACCTGTAGCGGACACTCACCCTGGGCCCCGAGCATGGTGGCCTTGACGGTGGACAGTATTCTCAGCTGGGTACCGATCGTGGGTATGCGCTCGCACACTTGCAGGATGTTCTGCAAAGAAAAAGACAGAGGCGAGGCATTAAGCTTACCAGAACACACACAAAGTGATCGACCACAGGGAAAACAAGGGAAGGCTCAGCATGAAATGGATATTTGGAGCGAGGGGGGTTCGCATTTGTTAGGGAAGCAAGGCTTCAGCGAGTTGACTAGACTTGATGGGTTCCGACGTAAGAGCCTCCCTCGTCTGCCCACTGTCAATAACTGCGAGTAAATGAGTAGGATCTCCACTGGGAGCCCACATTCGTGGCAAGGGGGCCCTAACGTAAGCCTGACAACATCAGCCCCGACTAGCATGCCCAGACTATCGAGCCCCAACGTCACGGCTTGACTCAGGAATAGACACCAGGGCTTGGCATCAGAATTTGATGATATCTTTGTTCACTGTTGACCAGTGTGCAACCTCATACCATGAGATTGCACAGAATAAGATGTGATTAAACAAGCTTTACAATAATAGCAATGCAGATGGCGATATAAATGGTGTCTCCACATCTCTTGAGGAGAACTATAAAGAAAGCACTTCAAGTTCTCTAAAATGCAGATTTTGAAGCTAAACAAGCCTTCATCCCAATTCAGGAATCGGAAATAAACCTTCACTTCTTTTCAGAGGAGTTGCTCGATTACTTCAGCTAACCAGGTAGCAGCATGAGACATACCCGTTTCGAAAACTAACACGGGAAACAACAAATTAATTACCACAAAATCCAGCATATAATATGCAATTAAGCTCCACATCTCCGTACTCTTGCTTACTTAACAGGTTTTAGAGGTCTGTCTTTACATGCTAGAAACTTATTTTTGGCCCTACTTAATGAAGCAGCCATCTCCTTGCAATTTCATGGGCAAACATTTTGAAAACTTCAGTTTTCCGCAGCAACTAGAAATTTAGGTTTGTATGACATCAAGACATGACAGTTTTAAAGCTGCTTTGCAAAGACCTGCAGAAAGGAAAAGCTTGTCAACTTGAACTGCTGCAACCGAAAGTGTCAGAATACATTAGATAGACTTTTCAGTCCACGCTTTGCATTACATATGCAGAGCTGTTCTTGTGACTTCTTAAAGCTGCAACCAATTGTTTTTTCAGAATGGTCTTGCTCACAAACACAGTGAAGGCACTTCCCTGAGCAATCTGACATAGACATTGTACCATTCGCTACTCACCGTCCTCATGCGCTTGTCTGTGCACATGCGAGCGAGCTCCTTGGCCAGACGAGTCACTTCTTCAGACGCCTCAGCAATCTGCTTGGCACAGGCAATCAGGTCTTTCTTTGTGCCTCCTTCGCCCCTGCCATGCAGACAAGCATAGAGCACTATAAACTACAGATCCCCAGAAAATGTGCAGCTCAGCGTGATACTCAAACCTCTTTATAACAAAGTGTACCTTACACGAAAATAAGTTCGTTATATATGAACATTCATTATAAAGGTATATTCCCAACACAATTTATTGCAGGAGAATTCTTCATTTACTTCGATATCACAGATATTTCGTTATATCGAGATTTCACTGTAAAACAATACAATGCATGCAACCACTATTTAGAATTACAGTCGCCGACCGATTTTCCGGACTCCAAAAATTCGGACTTGTTGGATATTCCGGACTTCATAAATGCACCGTCAGGGATTCCATAGAGCTAATGCATTGTTTCGACCGATTTTTCGGGCGAATTTGCCCCTGAAAGTTCGATTTTTCGGACTAAATCGCTCGTTTTGTGCCACGCTCCAAGCCATTGTGAACGCCGCCATGTTGGATTTTCTGTCGGCTTGGCTAAACTTGGTCTTCAAATGCCTTTCCTGCCTCCGAGATTGGAATGCGCACGCCATGTTTTAAGTTTCGGAGGCCGTGTTTGCTTTTTAAAAGACGCGGTGATGGACACCGTTTTTTCGTCTTCGGTCAGCACTATCGTCATCACATCGCACGGGGAGGAGGCGAAAGAAGGATTCTTTTATTGTCGTTGCAGCTTTTTTCAGTCGCCATTCTGCACGTGTTGTGTCGCGTAGCGTCGAGACGTTGTGTGCTTCGCAGCGGCTATCTGCGGCATCGAATTTTGTGTTCTCGGTGCCATGGCTCCGCTATCTGTGCCATCGCGGGAGCCAGGTGGTGTGAAGAAGCGTGGGAAGTATATGACCCTGACGATGGAGAAGAAAGCTGCCATAATCAAGCTAATAGAGAGTGGACGTTCGCAGCTAGATATCGCTGGATGACGGTCGACGCCGGATGGCGGTCGTCGTTGTCGTCGGATGACAACGACGACCGCCCGCAGCCGTCGGAGATCGCCAACGCGGTGACAATTTTGTCGAGCGTTTACGGCGACGATGTCACCTTGGCGCAAATACGGGCAAACCAAATTGCCTCCAAGCGTAGTTTGAGGCAAGGCAGCATCAAGGACTTTTTTAAACCTGCCTGATGCAATAAACTTCAGATTTTTGGCGAAAACGAATTTTTCGGACTGTTCGATTTTTCGTACTTTTTTTCGGTCCCCGCCAGGTCCGAAAAATCGGTCGGCGACTGTATTTAAGCTATAGGCCTTCTTAAGGTTCAAATATAGCTACTGGATGGCTTACAATATTAACTGATACTTTGGCTCAGTAAACGAGTAGTCAGTACCAACCTGAGTGTAGCTGCAACCGCCCACCACAAAACCATCACCTCTGTAAGAGAGTTGTACCAGCAGGCTTTTGTTCACTTTTTAAGCAGCTTCCCTCTGCTAACACTAACACTAGGCATAACGAAAAATAGAAGTTCATCCTTCATGAGTAAATACTACTTTTTGGCTGCCTGTTGATGTTAGTCTCCCTGATGAAGTTTGTTGAGATATTTCTGTTGGGAAGTCTTTTGTCTCATACCAGCGGGCTAAACATGTCTCTGAATGAGAAAATACAATTATGTTGCACACACTAAAAAGCTTGACTTCATGAAAATTAGCAAAGGGAATTGTTTAGAACATCTCTGTAAATTATTTTTGCATTATATTGGCTGAGGGCGGAGCTTATGTTTATACAAGTCAAGGCACCCCCTTACACAATTCATGCTTCCGATAGAAAATTGGGGCACCATTAAACTTCACCTTCAAGAATTGAACACGATAGCGATATTCTTTTCTAAGTTGCTGCTGACTACAATGGGTGAAGCCAACAGAGACTAATTGTAGAGGGCATTAAAACAACAGCGCACCGATTTTCAGCTCTTTAAATCTGTCTGTATTTGCAATTTTGTAGCTCAAGCTTAAGACCAGTTATACAAGAAATCACAAGCATTTGTCTTGAGGCACTACATACTTTTCCTTTATGTGAATACTTACACCACACATGCATTGAAAGAGCTCTGAAATGCCCCTTTCATTGCAGCATGACAAACTAACGACGAAAAGCTTCTTGGGGCCATAACTTTACTGCTTAAATGTTTATACAGTATAATCTCGATTATACGATTACGGTTGATTTGAATTTCACAATGATACAAGTTTTAAGGTTGTGTCGAACAGACTACACTGTATGAAATACGCTGTGATATAGTGTTATACAAACGGCTTTCCCAGCCACTGTGGATAATACGAATACGCGATTGACCGCTGCACGCGAGCAACGCAATGTGGCTCGTCTGTGTTCCAGGCCTGTTCTCACTTTGCCTCGAAGGAAGCGAATGTGGCAACACTCACCAGAATTTCCCTCGCTTCGCCACCTAAGTGGCCAAAAAACCACGTGGCGAGGCCGACACGAGAAATCTGTCCGGGACCAATTTTTCCACCACGCGATAGTGCATTGCCTCTCCGCTTGACCGCTTTGGCTGCACTAGCTCAAAGAAACCACTCACACCACGTGATGTGAATAACGAGTCTCAAAGTTCAACATGGCAGCAAAGACATCGGCAGCAGTGGCTTGAATTGGAGAAGTTGCAAAATACTACCGTGCAAACTACCCGTTGTGGGAATTGAGGCTAGCTTGCTGCCTTTGCGCGGGCTTTGCCGCCTCTTCTGCCGTTCTCATGTCCCGACATGACTCCCCTCCTACACTGTCTGCCGCACTAGGAGAGTGGAGTGACGTTTGACCCCCTCACCCGGTAGCGGATGTTGACTATGGCGCCACGCGCAGGGTCTCCCGAGAGGTTTTGCGCGCGTGCGTCAGCAGCAGCTCAGATACTCTCTGGGACAGCTGACGGTCAGCCACGCAATCTTTTTCGTCCGTCAACTCCAGTCGCTCGGGGCTCGTCAGACTTAGCTGACGGCGCCTCGAGCCTGAGGCGAACGCTCACCTTTTGTTGACCCTCTGCATACCCTGGGCCGAAGGGTGGTACGGTGTCCTAGTGCGTGGCCAAGCTACGCCGACCCGTCTCTCTCCGAAGCCAAAGCGAGCACCTTTTCCTTCGCTCGAGAAACTGGGCCTTGGTCCCAGTGTCTCCGTGAATAACCTTTACCACGGAGACTTGCTCGTGGCACCCTGTGTAGTACTTTTACGCCCGTGGCAGGATAAGCCCATTTGCTTTCCCGCCGCGCCTTTGCAACGGGCTATACTGCGTTTGGGGTTGCCACAGACAATAAAGTGTTGCGACCCTGAGCAGTATCGTGTTTTCGCCATGGCGACGATTAACGCGTGCCCTGCGGCTCGCTAAGACCGGACCCACGCTAGTGGCTGTACTCCTTCGAGATACGTGTACACTACACCGTGCAGCACAAAAAAGCTCACAGCCTCAACAAGGACACATTCATTGAGAGCCTGGTTCGAATCAAGAACACTGGTAATACTGGAAGTCAAATAAGATGCGCTAGCAGTGAGTCTGCACGCCCCAACGTGTCTCACTTTTGCATAACTTGCTGAATCTGCCGCCGTCGCAGTTGTGTCCGCTCGTGTCGTTTCTGTGGGCGTAGCTCCTAAAATAACGTTTGAAAAGGTGCAAACTGTTCTTTTTCGATGTTTTCCTGAGCATTAAAAGTCATACTGAATTCTAGTTATGCATGCAAAAGGGCAGAATGGAATGAATTTTCAAAGTGATGCAGGCTGCGGCAGTAGTGGCAGGTGTGAGGGACAGAACGAATGTGAACGTCTTTGATACGTACGGATGTGGTTTTTTTGCCGTTCTGGCATTTTCGTTTTCGCTTCTCAAGTGTGAATGCTCCCAGACCGATGATTTTTCGTGTCGACTTAGCGGTGCGGTTTTCTTGCCGCGCAGGCGGCTAAGCGAGTGAATGTTTTGAGATTTTTGCCGCCTTCGCTCCCTTCGAGGCCCATAGTGAACAAGCCTTCAGGGCCAGCACCATGAGTGAAAAAAGTACGGCATGGTTTTGTTCCTTTCAGGTGGCCTTTTTGAGAGACGGTAAAAGCAGAGAAGTTCAAAAGAACATTATGAACTCTTCCAGTGAGAACTCATTTTCAAAAGGGCAGTGCAACAACACAAGGAAAGAAAGACAGAGAGGTAGGTGCTTTTTGTCTCTCTGTTTATCTTTCTTCGTGTCGTTGCGCTGCCCTTTCAATATGAGTACTATGCACCAGCTAGCCCAAACCAATTTCAGCGAGAAGTACTTGACCCCAATAAAGTTCTTGTTCATATTGCCGCGCGCTTGATCTGCCAGCGCAAAAGAGGCAGACGAAGTGGCAGTTCCCCTCGTGCCATTGTTCTGTTTTTGGCTGCGCTGAGCCGACCGCTCTTCGGACTTTTGTGAGGACGCCTTAAAAACGTCTCCTGTCTCTTTAACGTGACATTTTAATGGTGGAGGTGCTGGGTAACCTCACCTATGCAACAGACTCCTTCTAGCAGCCGGAACGTGACCCAAAACCCAGAGCTTACGCCGGTACACCGTTTCAGTCGGAGGATTCGAGGACTGTCCCCCGAGTTTGTGCCTCACAGTACAAGTACGTCGACTGGTATGGAGAATACTGTTGCTGTCACCGCTTCCCCTACCGCTGGAGCCGCCGCTGCTCCAACCGCTGCACCCGCAGCTGCACCCACTCATTACACGCTACAAAAACCACGTGTTCCGAGTCCCTTTCGTGGTGGCCTCTATGAAGATGTGGAAGATTGGCTGGCTGAGTACGAGTACGTAGCGGATTTCAACGGGTGGGACGAAGTAGCGAAGCTCAAGAATGTGTACTTTAGTCTTCTGGATGGTGCTCGCACATGGTTCCAGAACCGCAAGGGCCTCCTAACGTCGTGGCATGAGTTCTGTCACAGGCTCCGCGAAACGTACTCGAGTCTCGATCGTCGAGAGCGCGCTGAAAGGGCCCTCCAGTCCCGCATGCAGATGCCTAATGAAGGTGTGGCTACATACGTGGAGGATATGGTTCATC